AAATGGCCCTGCACCTCCCCCTGCTTTTTACTGACAGTAGAATCATTCAGTGGTTTCTGCTGGGCCTGGCTCTGAGGAGTCCTTTCTCAAAAGCCAAAACAGTCCTGGAAATGGCCCTGCACCTCCCCCTGCTTTTTACTGACAGTAGCCAAGGCTTTAAAGTAATACCATTGTGATTGACTAGCAATGGCCACTGAGGGCATTCATTTCTTAGAGTTACAGCGACTGCTTCCATTATTTTGGTGGTGTTTACACCCCCTTTTTATAAGATGTCAGATTTTTCTGCAAAACTGGGAGTCTTATCAGGTTTGTAGAAAGATTTCTCTTTTCTGGTCATGGCCCCAGCCTCTGGATTTAAGTATCCATATAAGGGCCCATGTTGAAAATTAGATGTATTGATTAAGGAGAGAGCCGTTGGGGAAAGGATCTGCTTTCCTACATTGAATCTGAAGTGAAGGAACAGAAAATGAGTTTGACGGAGGTTGCTTCCACATGGAGATCTTTGCAGACTTGGTGTGTACTCATTTACTGCAGCCAAGCATCACCAACATAGAACCCACTGATTGATTAAGGGGAGAGCCGTTGGGGAAAGATCTGCTTTCCTACATTGAATCTGAAGTGAAGGAACAGAAAACGAGTTTGACTGAGGTTGCTTCCACATGGACTGAGGGCATTCATTTCTTAGAGTTACAGTGACTGCTTCCATTATTTTGGTGGTGTATTTCTGCAAAACTGGGAGTCTTATCATGTTTGTAGAAAGATTTCTCTTTTCTGGTCATGGCCCCAGCCTCTGGATTTAAGTATCCATATAAGGGCCCATGTTGAAAATTAGATGTATTGATTAAGGAGAGAGCCGTTGGGGAAAGGATCTGCTTTCCTACATTGAATCTGAAGTGAAGGAACAGAAAATGAGTTTGACGGAGGTTGCTTCCACATGGAGATCTTTGCAGACTTGGTGTGTACTCATTTACTGCAGCCAAGCATCACCAACATAGAACCCACTGATTGATTAAGGGGAGAGCCGTTGGGGAAAGATCTGCTTTCCTACATTGAATCTGAAGTGAAGGAACAGAAAACGAGTTTGACTGAGGTTGCTTTCACATGGAGATCTTTGCAGACTTGGTGTGTACTCATTTACTGCAGCCAAGCATCACCAACATAGAACCCACTGATTGATTAAGGGGAGAGCCGTTGGGACATCTAGGTGAGTTAACAGTGAGCCTTCCGTCAGCAAAAGAAAAGGGTTAGCAAATGCCAGCGGAAGTGTTTTTTTATCAGCATCGGTCACCTACTAACCTGACCTGTCTCTATTTGTACTGATATTAGGGTATGTGTATTGCACATGTATATTTCAGTTGTAGCTGGTCCTACAGTATTTATGAACAGGAAAACTCAGCTATCCTCTGATTCAGAATTCTCACCTCTTTACTTCAAACAAACTAGAGTAATTTGTCAGCTGCAGACCAGAGAGAAGCGGAGTTTTAAAACAAGTAATCCAGAAATATTGCAGTCCAGAGGGAAGATATTAAAGGTGCACAAATTGTAGTTCTTGGTTTTTGTTCTCTTTTTTTCTTTTCCCCATTCTTTCTCATACATTCTGTATCCATACGTCTGAGCTCGACTGGCATTGCTGCTGAAGCAGAATTATAAGGTTGCTCCCATATGGAGATTTTCCCCTGTGTGTAGTGCACAAAGAGCTGGAATTTAATGGGAGTTCCTACATGATATTGCTCATCGTGAGCATGACCTGTGGGCCTCCTGGGGACCATAAATATTTCTACCATTTGGAGGGCTCTCCCCTTTGAGATAAAGGAAAGCCACTGTTGGTTCACCTCAAAAGAGGAACTGCGGGCAAAGTGTCCATTTGCACACTCTGTCTGCAGCCAGTACAGGGATGGGGCATAACTAATCTCTGACTCCCAAATGGCTCTGTATCCTGCCCTTGAACAGGGGTATCTAGGCCATGAAGGTCCTGGCATAATCTGGATAAACCCTGATGTGTAGAGTACCCCTAAATTGCTTTGCTTAAGGGAAAACAATGCACTTTTTTTGCACAAGTATATTTTTTTGCAGTCATTCTAAAACTTGCGGTATTTAATCAGTGATGTAAATCCTTAGGAAGATTTGCATAACACTCTTGGTAGATGAATGGTACCATCCTCCCATCCAGTTACTCTCACAACCACTTATGCTTACCTGCAGCACACCAGTGGTCGTAATCTTTTACCTGTGACAGAGAGAGAGTTACAACCTTGGTGGCTTGCCTTTACACAGACAATAAAGTACAACTGTTACTGTTTCTTTGTAACTGGTGATATTTGGTTGTGCATATGAGCTCTAAATGTTTCACATCAAATTGTCAACTCTTTTCATAAAGGAGTGTAAAGGTAAAGTAAAGGTAAAGGTTCCCTTGCTCGAAAGCCAGTCGAATCCGACTCTAGGGTTGCGATGCTCATCTCCGTTTCCAAGCCGAAGAGCCAGCGCTGTCCAAAGACATTTTCGTGGTCATGTGGCCGGCATGACTAAACACCAAGGCGCACGAAACGCTGTTACCTTCCCACCAAAGTGGTACCTATTTATCTACTTGCAATTTCTTGCTTTCGAACTGCTAGGTTGGCAGGAGCTGGAACTAGAGAAGGCAGCTCACTCCATCATGCGGCACCCGGGTCTCGAACTGCTGAACTACTGACCTCCCACAGCCTGCAGTTCAGCGTCTTAACCACTTGAGCCACCGCAGCAAGCCATAAAGACCTAGAACTTAATAAATAGCTCCCAGGTGCTAGCTAGCTTATGGGGAGGGAGGAGAGAATATGGCAGAGTGTTCACTTCTTTGAAGCAGGAAACATAGTCAGTGTGGATATACTTTGATGTAATCTTGTATCATGCTCTCTCTTTTTTTGGCTTTTAATGAAGGCACTAAAATGGGCTTGTATGGAGGGGGTGTCTGGAATAACATTGATTTCCTCTCTTGCTATTGATCTTTTTTCAAAGTAATTAGCACTGGCAAAAGTATATGCAAAACATGGGAAATCGTGAGTGGTGCAGCAGACCTGTATGTTTAAAGTACTTTATGATTCAAGTACTCCTGGTCTATAAGGAGAAGAATCATCTCACTGGTTTAATCATCAATATACATCGCTTAGCTAATAGGATGATGCCCCCAACTTACTACTTCTGCTTTTGTTCTGCTTCTCTTTAATCCAAATGCATTTGCATTTTCTTCATAGTTCACTAGTATAACCCATGGGAAGATCAATGCGTGAAGGCACTTGAAGAACATTTATTTAGTAAATATCTCAAGCCTTTTAACTAGATGCCAGAGACTGAATCTTGTATTCAGAGCATGTGCTGTACCACTGAGCTGTGCCCACGCTTAAAATATTTACACATTCGTTAATTTAATTCATTTCTACCTTTTTTTTACTATTTTAGGCAGGTTGTCAATCTCATCAGATTTCAGAAGCTAAGCAGGGTCATCCCTGGTCAATATTTGGATGGGAGGGAGACAGCCAAGGAATACCAGTGTCAGGACACAGAGACAGGCAATGGCAAACCACCTTTGAACATCTCTTGCCTTGAAAACCCTACAAGATCACCATAAATCAGCTGCAACTAGACATCACCAAAAAGTAAAACCCAGATTGCAATCAGATTCAAAACAATAATAAAAATAACAACAAAACCCATGAAAACAAAAAAACAAGGTGATTGCAATCAGATTCAAAACAATAATAAAAATAGCAACAAAACCCATGAAAACAAAAAAGCAAGGTAACCTTAAATATTACAGGGAAAGAATGCAAAACTGCAGAGAGCTGTCAAAGGGATAAATACAAAGGTACTTAACCAGAAGGTCAAAAGAGTAGGCTAGGGCACCCGACATAAGTACATAGGGAGGACAGCCTGTACTCTGGGTACAGCAACCAAAAAGGCCCTATCACTAGTAGCCATCTTTTCTATAGGGGTACCTTCCTTACAAAATTTCCTTCTAAAGAAACATATACTTACCTTGGTTTTTATTTTCAGACACCTGGTCAAGGTCTTTTTGTTCCAGTAGGCCTGGCAGAGGGCTAAAGATTTGGGGCTAATGAGCTTGGGTTTTGGAATATGGGCTTTACAAATATATTTTACTTTAAAAATGGACAGAAAAGACATGAAATGTTCCAAATTATTATTACAAAGAAACCTATTAGCATAGAGGTAAAGCAGCTCATGATAAACATACAAAGCAAATAACTAACATGTCTGTAATTACCGTCTGTATACTCTGATATATACACTTGTAGCAACTACTTAATCAAATACCTTTTCCCAACTGTTGTGAGATTCAGTGTTTGTCATAAGCAACTATACAACCCTTGACTATGCTACTTAATATACATAAACCGCTGTCTATATTGTCTCAGTCTGTCTATATCATATGATAGCTGTGTAGAAATTAACTTGCTCAGTGGTAAAGCATCTGATTGGCATGCAGAAGGTTCCAAGTTGAATCCCCAGCATCTCCAGTTAAGGATCAGGTCATAGGTGTTGTGAAAGACCTCTGCCTAAGACTCCAAAGAGCCGTTGCCAGTTTGAGTTGATCATACTGACTTTGATGGGATGATGGGCTGATCCAATATAAGGCAGCTTCATGTGTTCAATAATATGCTGGAATATTGAGGTGATAGAATGGACTGCACCATATCAGACCAATGTGGGAGACAGCATTTTTTAAATTCTCCACTGCAGGAGCATGAAAAAGCATTCAAAAGGAGCCTGAGGTGGTAAGGTCCATTCTGTCACTTTTTTCCAGCTTCATTCTTCCACATGTGTATCCTCAGCTTAAAATATTAGGATATTCAACCAGGTCTTTGCTTAGGTAGGCAAAGTGCACTGGAGAGGGTGGCTGTGGGTTCCAGGTCATAAGGAGGCATTGGGAGGGTTGTGTATCTCGGTAAAGGAGTCACAAAGCGTCTGTATCTGCCTTCTAACACAAACCTGTTTACCCTTCAAAACAGAAATACTCTGCTGTGTCTCTCTGCAACATCTCTACAGAGGTCCTAAAAGTCATCAATGCAACGGAGGAGCTCATAGCAGAATCAACGGGGCCTTGCGATGTTCCAGCAGATGCTTGTGACAGAGGGAAAGGGGAATTTCCATTAGGTACAGATCCTGTCAGACTTGACGAGCAGCTCACAACACTGGAAGAAAATGTAAGAATGGCTGATAACTTGATGTGTGCATAACAGATGTACATGGGAAGGATTTGGGAGCCACTCTTAAGGGAGTGGGAAGCATTTGATTTTGAATGCCACATAACTGTCACCAAAAATAATCTCCGAAACACCTGAGTTTTTAAAGTTAACACACAACACTATAATTAGTTGTATGTGCTGTGGCATCAAAGATGGCCAAATTTTGTGCCTCAGTATGCTCAACAAAGAAGCAGATAGTTAAGCCTTTTTATTAATTATGTCTGAACTATTGAAATTAGCCTATTGCTCTGAAATTTTATTGTGTGTGGATGTGCTGATGACTCCCTCTGTGTATCAATCTTGGGTGATCTATATTCATAAGAAATAAAGATTGATTAATTGAGAATACTGGGAAAGAAACAAGGATAACATGTCTGTGCATTTTCATACATCTTCATTAATATTGCAAAACCCACCCAAGCATATCGGTTGTTGGTCCAGCCTTTATCCATCCTTTTAAGCCTTAAAGCTCTTCTAAGAGTGAAGAGGACCTAAAGAGCCTCTTGCTCAGGGTAAAAGAGGAGAGTGCAAATGTGGGCTTGAAGCTCAACATCAAAAAAAACTAAGATCATGGCATCCGGCCCCATCACTCCTTGGCAAATAGAAGGGGAAGTCGTGGAAGTAGTGACAGACTTCACGTTCCTGGGGCTCCCTATCACCGCAGACTGTGACAATGGTCAAAGCAATGGTATTCCCAGTAGTCATGTATGGCTGCAAGAGTTGGACTATAAGGAAGGCCGAGCACCGAAGAATAGATTCTTTTGAACTATGGTGCTGGAGAAGACTCTTGAGAGTCCCTTGGACTGCCAGAAGATCAAATCAGTCAATCCTAAAAGAAATCAACCCTGACTGTTCCCTGGAAGGCCAGATAATGAAACTGAAGCTCAAATACTATGGCCACCAAATGAGAAGGGAGCACCCACTGGACAAGACCCTGATGCTGGGAAAGATTGAAGGTCAAAGAAGATGGGGACGGCAAAGGATGAAAGAATGAGATGGTTAGACAGTGTCATAGATGCAACGAACATGAAATTGAGCAAACTTCAGAGGACGGCGGAAGACAGGAAGGCCTGGCGTGATCTGGTCCATGGGGTTGCGAAGAGTCGGACTCGACTGTGCGACTGAACAACAACAAGAAAAAAATACTATAAAATTACTTGTTGGAAGCCAAGAAATTTTCCTCTAAAACATTCTGAACTTTGAGCTAAAATTTGTCATTTTAAGGATAATTCATGTTTGCAGACACTAATTCATCAGAGTAGTTCCAAAGATGTATATATAGTTGGAATCATGGGCTTTGATCCAAAGATGCCACCGTGTGAGTGAAAAGGAAATCACTTGTACAGGTTGAGTTTGAAGACAGCTCCCAAAAAGGCATCCTGGAAAACACTCTGACCTAATGATTTCAGCTATCTTGAGGAGAGGACTATGGAGGGGAGGAACTGGCCTCTCACATACTTGCATAATCAGAAGTGGCTTCTAACTGAGTGTGACACTTTTCGATCCAAGCTTTGTATTCCAAACATTGGCATTCACATTGTAAACATGTGTGGCTACATATTTATCTGCATCTCTAACACATTTCTCACAGTGTCTAAATAAGGCATGCTTTTGGATGTTGTGTTGGTATGATATCACTCTTCCCCTTATTTAGTTCAACACAAAAACAAGCCCTTCCTCTTACATCTCTGTTCTGGATATGGAAATGGCAATGAGAGCTACCCAGGGAATAATCTCTAGGGATGGGCACAAACCGGCTGATGAACTAAAGTTCATCATGAATTTTGGGCGGTTCGTGGTTCCCAAAGCAAAGTTCACAAACTGAAGAACCACCATGAACTTTCATGAATTTTGATGCAGTTTGTGGTGATTCGTGAGGAGCAGAACGCAGGGGTTAGTCAACTGGGAGCCATTTAAACCAGTGCCTTCTGGTCCCCATGAAAAGCTGCAGGGAGCAGAAAGCAGATTTAAGTGGCTCAGATGATTGATTTAAATGGCGTAAAGCAGCGGGGAGCAGAAAACAGGGGTTTAAACTTTAAATGGTTCATGAACTGATATGAACCAGATTGGTTTGCAAACCAGCCTCCTAGTTCATATGGGTTCATGGTTCGGTTCATGTTTCAGCCAAGAACTGAACCCAAAAAATGTGATTCGTGCCCATCCGTAATAATCTCCATGCTGAAGCAGTTAAATAAAGTTAAATGAAGTTTATGCCTGTTCTTATGACACACATTAACTGACTCTCAAAAGAGATACCCAGATCTCTTTTGTCTGACAACTGCTTCTGCTGAATGATTCCTTGGAAATCAAGTTTGCTACCATGTTCAGCTTTCAGTTATGAAAACCCTATACATTATTAGCATGGTAAAATTTCTGGAAGCCCATCTCTTTGCTCTGGCTTTTTCAGATGGATCCTACCTTTCCATTTCTGGGTTATAGTCTTTCAATACAGAACTTAGTTTATATGTTAATAATGAATAATAATTAAAAAAAACAAATGTGTGTTTCAATGAGAACTTGTGATCATAACACCACAGATGATAACTACCCTAACTGGATACAATAAACAGCTCAGTGATAGCCCTGACATCTCCAATTAAATCATGTCAGGTAACAAGTGTTGGAAAAAGTATTTCCTGGAAAGGAAGGCAATCTACCGTGTTTCCCCGAAAATAAGACACTGTCTTATATTTATTTTTTCTCAAGAAGACACACTAGGGCTTATACCACAAATGCATAGAAATCCTGCTAGGGCTTATTTTTGGGGTAGGTCTTATTTTCGGGAAAACAGGGTAGTTTGAGATTATTCCAGTGGAAAGGAATGTAGTGTGAAGACCAGGATTAATATTATATTGTTTTACTTGAAAAGTACATGCTTTGTATGCAAAAGATATAAGTTTCAATATCTGCATTTTCAGCTAAAATTGTTGCAGGTAGTAGGTGCTGGGAGAGTCAGTTCTCTGCCAGGGAACCTGGACAGCTACTGCCAGTCAGAGCAGACAGTACTGGACTACATGGACTGGCAGTCTGACTCAGTTTGAAGCAGCTTCGTGTGTTTATTATAGCTTCAGGTGTGTTTATAGGTGTACCTGACAGCTGGAGGTGTGTATGGACTGGAGAGTCAGCTAAATGAGCTGGAGGATGCAGCACGCAGAATTAATAGTGTTACCGCAGAATCTGAGCTGGCTGATCTGGAGGACCAAGTGGCAACAGCAGCAGCACAAGTTCATCAATCAGAGCTTCAGGTGAGATGAAACACCTGCTTTGCTACCGTGTAAGGACAATATGACATTCCTGCCTTTTGCTTGAACCCTATGATCTGCCTTAATGGTTCACCTTATGAACATATCAGAAATACATAATTTGTAAAAAGCACAAGAAGCACAGGTATGTTTGGATCTGAGTGTAATTATTTTAAAAAGTTTGGAAACCTACAACATTATAATAATTTACACAATATTACATGCATAAATAAATCTAATAAATACATAAATAAATGTATTTATTTACTTGATTTATACTCCACCTTTCTCCCCAATGGGGACTCAAAGCGGCTTACATAGTTCCATTCTCCTCCATTTCCTCCCCTCTCCCCCTCTCCTCACAACAACCCTGTGAGGTAGGGTAGGCTGAGTGTCTGTGACTTGCCCAAGGTCACCCAGCATCCTTCTATGGCAGAGCATTAAAAAGATCCCATATGATGTTGTACAGACATTAATTACATAGATATTTTTTTCTTTCATTTACCATCTATTAAAAGTTTTTTCGATATAATGCATGGCGATTTTTTTACACATTTTTGATCAATAAAGGTGTGGATTTGGTCACAGATAAGCAGATCAGTTGAGTGTAACTTCCCAAATGGTCTCTGCAATATGAATGTATGATTTCAGATTTCAGATATTGAGAGCAGAATTTCAGCACTAACAGTTGCAGGCCTGAATGTGGCTCCGTGTGTTCATCTGTTGAGAAAACGTGACCAAAAGCAGACAAACCAGGTGAGAAAAGGCAACATGCAGCTATCCCAGTCTCCTAAGGAAGCCCCGTATCCATGTGGAAGCAGCCTTCCATGCGGACACCTAGTACTGCACAGCCAAATGAAGCTGCACTTGCGCTTGCAAGGAGGGGATGACAACACAGATGCACTGTACTGGGAGGAATCGAGCCACACAGGTTCCTCAGCTCTTGGCACGGCATAGGCTGGGGACAGTGGGTGCAGCTGGCAGCCCAACTGCTGTCAGTACCTTCCCCAACCTGCGTGTTGGGCTGACTGAGAGCAGAGGCCTAGTATGAGGGCCGGAAGTGGTGGCAACTGCTACTCCTAGCCATCTCCCTCCCGGGTCACAGGTTAAGCTTGACCAGTTGCATGCAATTAGAATTGGACTGAACCAAGTATTAGTATGAATCGTGTGTTAATATATACTAATAGATTATGGGATTTCTGCTTCAACAGATGCACACGATAGACACGTCCAGACAGCAGAGACGAAAGCTTCCTGCGCCACCCGTGAAAGGTGATTAAAAACAATAGAAAATGCAATATGTTCATTTTTATACTGTTGATATCATGCTTGAGTGATATGATGGTAAAAACAGGAGTATTTTGAATGAATAGAACCCAGTAGAAGCCATTTTTACTGTAAAAAATATGTCACTGATCATTCTGAAAGAGGAAAAGAAGTCAAAGGGATTTTTTCTGGGTTTTTCTCAATATTCACCATTTCCTATATCTGAACCGCAATTATTTAAAAGAAACTTAGAAGACTTTTTATTTCCAGTTCCTTCAAACTAACTGAAATGGTGATATATTAACTTGTGGGAGAGGGGAATCTATTTAAACTGCCACCTCCTTCCGTCTATAGAAGTCCTCCATTGGGTCCAAACCGTAGCTAAACAGCTCCCTTCCCTTGGCACATGAGCCAGAAATCTGGCCCTGTAGGGTTTTCAAGACAAAAAAACATCCAGAGATGGTTTGCCATTGCCTGCCTCTATGTAGGGATCCTGATATTGCTTGGTGGTCTCCCATTTAAACACTAACCAGGGCTAAACCTGCTTATCTTCTGAGATCTGATGAAATGGTGCCATTCAGGTCATAAGAAATCTTGTTTAAAATTGTCCCCCCCCCCTTCTCTGCCAAAGTTTACTGTTGAAGAGAAAAGATTATACAGATACATAATTTTCTCCTAGGTTTGATTTCAAAAACAGTGTGTCCTCATGCCAAAAGCGAGGTGATGCAGAGTCCCTTCCGAGGCTGTCGAGAGGATTCCCCCAGCCATTTTAAAAGCTACATATTTTGTTTCTACCATCATTCTCTTCGATTCAAGCTGATGAAGACCACTGCTTAATCTTTTTCAGGTGAAAACATTGATGCCTCTCCAGTTACTCCTGACAGAACATGTAACAAGAATTTCATGCTTCAAGGATCTCTGACACAAAGAACTAAAGAGAGAAAAAGCACTGCCAAGGATTTGATGGTAAGCCCTGACCAGGGGGGTATGATTCCATATCTCAAGAGGAAAGTTTATAGAGTAGTCTGGTAAAATAAGGAAGGCGCAAGTCAGGCAAAACAAGTACAAATTAGAAGTTTCATTTTTTTTAAAAAAAAGTTGATGTGCTCTCTCTCCCCCCAAAAGTCCTGCTCCAGAAATATTAACATTTCAGATTCCTTGATATAAATGTTGAATTCCAAAAATGCAGATGTCTGTAAAATGTGATGAATCTAGAAGTAAGTTTCAGAGTTTAATTGTGTGAATGTCACAGTTCAAAGCAGCTACAAAACCTGCATTACTTATTTACCAGATATCTAGGAAGGTGGGGGGTTTATTTATTTATTTATTTATCAGATTTATACCCCGCCCTCCCCACAAAGCAGGCTCAGATTCAGAATCTGATTTTCCAGGGTTTTTTTTAATATTAGAAGCCCCCACTGAGTTTGGAAATTTTTCCAGATGATTTCTTTTCACCCCTGGGAAGGGGGGGTTCTAAATAGTGAAGATATCTTATAGGTACATAGTAATGCATTTAACAACAGATTATCTTGTTCATAAGATTAGTAGTCTCTAGAAAATGACACAACCTTTTTATTATTTCCATTTTTAATTCATTATTTCTTCAATTCTTTTCTATTTTAGGAACCATCTATAGGGTCTGCTGTAATGTACTAAAATCACAAAGTTCTACTGCCAATAACACACTGCCTAAGGCTGCACACTACAGTGCCTTTATATAACAGCCATTGTATACATCCAATAAAAATGGACCCTCAAGAACCCACAATGCCTCAGTAATAGGGCTGTGTTTGGATACCTCACTGAGAAAGCTGTTCAAGTCTTCAGCATTGTGGTCTTCTGTTGGAAACTCTGCCTTAAAGTTCTCATGAGACTCCACGAAGGACATTGAGTTTCAAGGCTCCATATTTTAAGATGCACTTTTCCCCAACATTGTCCAATTGTATTGAAATATCTTGTCGTTAAAATATATTAGGGCTGATCCTAACGACCACCTGCAGAAGTGCAGAATTTTGCTGCATTCACTTCCTCCACAGCAGCCATTTCTGACCTCCAAAAAGTAGACTTCCATGATGATGACACCAATCTCGATTGGAGGAATTGAAGTGAGAATGGGGGGGAAAACTACACTCTGTCAGCTTCCCCTTCCCCACTGCATCCTCCGCCCCCAACTTGCAGAACTGTTAATCCATATGGGTCCAACCGCAGAAACCTATATTCCGGTGGTCAGAAAGAACTGCAGGACCAGAGAGGAGTGCAACAAAGATCTGTATTTCTTCTGTTGGTGGTAGTTGGGATCCGTCCCAGATTTTTTTATGTTCTGAATTCATTCGTTAACTGTCAATCAGTATGTTGAAGGTCAAGGAAGAACGCAAATCCTCCAGTTTTGTGATCCATGTTTACAGATAACTTACTGTTCATACAGCCACAGTAATATATGCCTCGGTGAACAATTTTAAGTATTCCGGGAGTTGCAATTAATCCTGAAGAAAACTGTGGGAAGCAGTGAGAAGGGAGGAGAATACTTAAATGGCTGTAGCCTGGTTAGATAAACAGTTTCCTTCTTCAGTTTTCATTTACATTCCATTCTGGCATACTCAGATATATGATCTTTGGACAGTCATATGATACCTTGCTAAGGGGGGATATTTTAGCTGGTTAAATAGACATTCAGCTGGAGCAATATGAAACCTTTTGCATTCCCAGGAAATAGCAACTCTTCTTAAAGACCCAGAAGTATTCCTTATTTAAATCACTCATAACCTTTCATAACTGAAACTGGCCTGGGACTCCACAATTCAGAAGCTCAAAATTACATACACTTGAATCCCACTAAAAATGACTGCCAACTGAAGGTTTTCCATCAGCGGAAGATAGTTTTCTCACCTTCCTCTTCCTGCTGCAGCCCAAAATGCTGTACCTAGAAGACAGAAGACCTCCAGGAACAACATGAAGGGGGAATCAGATGCCTGAAGATGGAGGGGGGAATTTGCAAAAATCAACCCCTTTCTGTGGAAATGTTAGGTGGGAGACATCCCATGAGGGGTTTTTTAAATCTCTGAATGCAACCCCTTAACTCTAACTTAACCAATGCTTAAGTTATGATGGTGGGCTGATAATAACATAGAGATAACCCTGTTGTTTTACATGAATGGTGCTTCAGAAATGCGTATCTGTAGTCTTACCGTCTTTGTTTTTTTAACTAGAAGAGTAATGTTTATTTCTCTGCTCCCAGCAGAATGCGTGGAACGAAATTGCAGGCTCTTACTCCTATCCAGATGATTCTGATTTTCAAAAATCCACTGTTCAGTTTCATTGCTTTCAGTCCCTGCAGTCTGGGCCAGGAGTCCCAAGCATGACACCAGTAGGTGCCACGGCACCCACCCCTTTCTGGCACCCGTCAGGTGTTTTTTGAAGTGTGCAGGGCCTGGTAGGGTTTTTATCTAGCAGGGCTTCTGATTGGCCATTGGAGGTCTGATTGGCTTTGCAGATTTTAAAAAATGTTGCTTTGTCAGCTGCTGCCACCAAGGATGTTCATTTTAAAAGCCATCCTGGTAATGCAGCTTCTGTGTGAAATATTAAAGAATTACTATTAGTTATGCATAACTACACTCCTTTTGTGGTTGGCACCACCTCCTGTGGCACCCCTTTTTTGGTTGTACCCACCACCCTGTGTTGGTATTCCAAAGATATCCGCAGGCTTGAAAAGGTTGGGGACCACTGGTCTCGGGCTACTGAGGCCCTTCAGTATGTTTTGGTCACCATCTTGTCCATATAGCTAGGAAGAGCCAGCACTAACTCAAGATCCCTTGTAGCTTATCTGAATGCATGAACTTAAATGTAGGCTGATCACATAGGAATTAATCTCATTGCAACAAACTTTATAATAGTCAGGGCATAGTTCTTATATAACTATAAGAGGAAAATGAACTGCAAGGAAATTTAAATTTAATTTCAATTCAGTTAAGGAATGACCCCCCCCCTCTTGAATTAGTATACTTTGAAGCCTACTTTGTATGAAACTATTAAATGGAAGTGGAGTGAAATATTCACGGAGCAAACTCTAAGCAGAGTGATACCCTTCTATGCCCGTTGTTTTCAGTATACTTGGAAGGTTGTAACTGCTTCGGATTCCTCTGTCAAATGGTAAATTGTGCTGCGGTCAAGATGATACCCTTGGGCTGTCTCTAATTCTTATATATCTAGCACCTCCAGGTTCCATGCTGTCACAGTAGAAGTCCCACTTCACCCTACAAGCATGCATTTAAAGGCTAGAAGAGCTCTCACACCTTCTCCACTCTTTAATGGTAAGATTGAAAGGATAAGTTAAAGAAAGTTAGTGATTTTGACTATGTACCTGCAGTGTTAGTTTCTTTCATTTCTGTTGGGTTTGTGTATTTCTCATATCTACATTTCCCATGGACGTTTCTTTCTTTTTTTTAACCTGCAACCAAAATGATGTCTTCACAAGCACGCATGAAATTCTCATAGTCTCTTATTGAGCTTGACTAGAATTTTGCCTGCAATGTAAAAAAAATTCACCATCCTTGTGAAAGCTTCTTAACAAAAGTAGGGAGTCTAATACAGCTGTAATTACTCAGTTTCCATTCCCATGTCTCTTTTTGTACTTGTCCAAGATAATATTCCCAGATTCTTGTTCCTGCAGGTTTGCGTGTTAATGAAATGTCAATAATGATGGCTGGTCTACATATTTGTCCAATGATACTATTAGCTAATCCTGTGTATGTAATATTGAATCAAGACATGACTAATTTTAATAGATAACTCTTTGGCTTTTGTTACGTTGGTGTGATATAAAACAAAACTGAGTTTGGAATAGAATGTTTTCCATAAGAGGCATGAAAAGCAACTACAGTTGTGTTGAAATGTTAAACTATTCAGTCTTCTTTGACTAAAATGTGTACTGTGTAGGCATTGCAAAAAAAATCCCCTCCTGCTATAAAGCATTTCAATTTTTACAAAGATTTACTTGTGCCAAATGTGCAAAGATTTAATTTACTGTTTTGAAGAAAACCATACAAATGTATATGTTATAGCACACAAAAGAATTATTTTGTCATCAAGTGATTTCAATCCTTAGTGTTAATATTTATATTTAGAGTTAATTTTTTTATAAATGAGAAATATTTTAATGGTTAAAACAAATGAAGACAATATAACAAATCTGTCTGATTTGGTTTGAGTGGAACTTAACGCTTGCCTTGTTGTTGTGATCTGCATTCTTGCCAGGAATTATTGTCAAGAGAAATGATATAAAACAAATGATTTATGGAAACCAGTTGGCTTTTGGGGATCCTAATTCATATAGAAAACATGCGACGAGAACTTGGAATGTTCGTATTTATGGTACTTCTGCCGAAGGGAGAGATGGGATTTGTGTACAGCCGGCACAATGTCGTGTGCCTTCTAGTAGTAGAGGAACTCACACACATATCCCCACCAGATCGTGGAGGGTTAGTTTAATTGGAGAGTGCTTCCAGATGTAACTGAAGCGGCAGGTGTCCAACAGAACTGGGCTGCAGCCCCACAAGGTTAACTGGAAGCCCCTTTTTTGAATGTACTGCACAAGCATATTGCCATGTTTATTCCACAGGCCCACTACTGACCTGACATGTGACCGTGCCCCCATGACATTTTGATGCCCGGGATAGAAAGTCAAAGCAGCTGCCCCCCACACACAGACACACACAAAAGTACATTTGGCACAATCCATCGGGAAGGTTTCCTGTGCAAGTCGCATTGAAAAAGAATGGGGGTGGTGCTCTTGCACAGTTCCCCTTTCATTCAGAGATGCTCTCATAGGAAAATGTCTGGTGAATTTTGCTTAATCTTCTACTCTGCTGTCTTTCACTCATGCTCCCCTAGCTGAGGGTTCACATAACTTTTTTCCATGTGTTATTTATAACAGGCCTAAAAACAGTCAGGTGTTAACATTTCACTCCATTTAATACTGGTGATCATAATATTTAAATCAATGTTATTTTCATCCATAATGACACATAAATAATGCAGCTATTTATAAATGTAGCCAGTCAAAAGTTGCCCCAAAGTTATCACTCTGCCCTGCGCATACCCAAATGTAGTAGTACCTGACAACATTTTCGTCATGGCGTATGCTTTCCTGGATCTTCCTGCACATCCCTTAATAACTGACTAGTGTGGCTATTTGTGTTACCACCAGGGACAATGGAGGATCGATAGTACTTAATACAGCCCCCCCCCCCACCCTTCCCTCAAACATTAATGGGTGTAACTATACTGGCTGCCACCGTGAGATGAATACCAACAATTACTAGCATTTTATTATGATTTTATAATTGTTTTAACCTCATCTTGTTTTTAATGTAATTACTTGTCTTGATGTAAGCCGCCCTGAGCCGGCCAGGAGGGCGGGATAAAAATCTGAACAATAAATAAATAAATAAATTTGTTTGACATACAAAGAAGTGTATAGAAGCCATAAGAACTTGCTGGATCAGACCAGTAGTCCATCTAGCCCAGCCTTCCCATGTTGCTGCCTCACAGCACTGGTCTTCAGAGGTTTGCCACCTCCGTATATGGAAGTTCCCTTTAGTCACTGACTAGTAGCCACTGATGGATCTTTCCTCCATGAATCTTTAAGAAGTCTATGTCTAAAAGCAAAAACACCTCACCCTCCCAAAAAGGTAGTGACATACAATTGAGAATCAGCATAACTTTTTAGGTAGGACATTCAGTTTTTGAACTATGCACGTCATTCTCACATTAAACAAATGATCAGAAGA